AGTAATAGAAGTCTATGAAAAGTCCCCACAATTCAAAGAAACAAACATGAGTGTGTGTGTGTGTGTGTGTGTGTGTGTGTGTGTGTGTGTGTGTGATATTTTCTTGCCATTCTCTCATGCATATCTTTCACAGAAACATAAGCTCTTCTCTTTTTTTTTAAAGTTGCAAAGATTTTATAAACCATAATGGCGTTTCATATATTTTTTATGGAGTCTTATGGACATACATTATAACATTACTTTAAAATTAATTTAGGTTTTCTGTCCAGTCTCTGACCTTTAGGCTTGAAAACTACTCAAGTACAGGAAACAAAGGTTTTAAATAAGATTTTTCTACACCTTTATAATAATGTGTACTGACCAGTTGTTTGATAAAAGCAAAAACATCAATAATAGCAACATGCATTTTTGTTGATCTTACCATGAAAATAGTAATTATTACTGAGATAGCAAAATAATAAATTACATAATAACATGAATAAGTCAATTATGTGAATAAGCACATAAAACAATAATATAATGAAGATTAAATAAATAAATAAATAAAAAGATTTGCCTTCACACTTGCAGATTTAGTGTGTAAGCAGCTGTATTTTGGAGTCTTGTTTGTAGGATCACGGGCATCTGATGTTTCTGTCGAAGCGCTCATAGACGGTCAAGAGAGTGTGTTTTGACAGTCCTTAAACTTTATCTCATAAAACTCTTTTATTTATGTCTCACTGTTTTTTTTTAGACAATTGTTTAAACATTTTACTTTAGCACTTTGTGCTATTGTTATTGCCTTCTTAAGACAAAGTTGTTTTATTCCTTCATTTGTAAGTTTATTTTGATAAAACTCTGCTAAAATAAAGCAATTTAAATGCAAATCTGACAAATCTATCGACTGAAATGGACCTCTCTGTTAGTAGTAGTGAATCTTGGTGACTTTATATGACCTCCATATGACAGCTGGACAAGTAAAGTCTGTCTGTTTTTGTGTGTGTGTGTGTGTGTGTGTGTGTGTGTGTGTGTGTGTGTGTGTGTGTGTGAGTGTGTAGGTTTGTCTACTTGTGCAGGCCAAAATGTTTTAAAAATGTTGTCAATGAATAAAGTTTAACATGTGGTACAGACTTGTGAGCCAGACCTCACTAGTTCAGAAGACTCATAAATCAGCAGAATCATGTGTAACAATGTGCCGGTTCTGTGAGGGTTTGTTTAGGGATCAGGTTTGGATAAAGTATCATTAACTGGAAATAGAAACAATGAACGTGTATGTGATGTTCTTACTAATATACAGTAGCTCATACAGTCCCTGTGTGTTTCAGGATGCCAGGCCAGTAGAAATGTGAGCTTTACCTAAGATTTTGTTGACAGATATTGTAACTACCCCCCGACCTCTATTTATGGAAATTTTCTTCTAAAACAGATCCAGACTGGTGTATCAATATATTTTAATAATAATAAAACAAAATCAGGAATTATATGTAGTGGATTTATCAGAAGAATTTGAGAACACAACAATCTTAGAGCTGAAGGAGAAATTCGGATCTGAGGTTCCCAGAGTTCCTGCTGGTTAAATATTTATTTACTCTCTAAAGAAAAAAACAAACAAAAAAACTTAAATGGCAAGTTAAACCACAGAGTAATTGTCTTGCAATCTGTTCGTAAATATGAATTTGTCAAGACACCTTTATTTTTATAGCTCCTTATACAGGTACATCTCAAAAAATTAGAATATCATGAAAAAGGTCAATATTTTTTAAATGTCAAGAAATAAAGGCTTGAAATATTTCACTCTATGTGTAACGAATCTATATAATATATGGGTTTCATTTTCTGAAATGAGTGACACAAAATATTGACCTTTTTCATGATATTCTAATTTTTTGAGATGTACCTGTACAATATGCAATTGTGTCAAAGCAGCTTTACAATCAGGCAAATAGTCTATTCAATTTTCACATATAGTGTTACGTTCATAACACTGAAACAAGTTCAATTATATGTTAAGCAGTTCTACGAAAACAACCATGTTGTTTTCCAGGTCGAGTCATTGCAATGTTGATTCAGATCAGTTCAGTTCAGAGTCAATGTTGAAGTAAATGATTCAATATCATATATATCATATATCATATCATATTCAGACGGGATTAGTTTTACAGAGGTACAGTAGATGGAGTAATGTAATTTTACCACAGGACATCTGTAATATTAATGGCCAATTCGCACGGGATTAGAAATTTCAGTAAAACTATCAGAGGTGGGAGGGGTAACTTGATTTATGCACTGCCGTCATGTATATAATATCATTTAGGTCCAGTCGAACGATTTATTAATTCAATTAATTACATTCTGATCACTGGATTCTGTTGGTAATAGGCACTTACCTAATGCAAACATAAGTTCCATGCCTCTGACAAGTGCTTTCGACCTTCTTTCTGATGGTATGCGTCATCGTATGTGGAAAACACTTGAGGTTTGCCACTGACTTGTCCCACCGCTTAGAACGCAACTGAATGCTTCTTCAAGCACCTCCATATTTGAAAAACCATGGAAAATGACAGGAAATGATGGAATATTTACTAATATATTTACAGCTGGTCAATTCACATGGGATTAGTATCACCTGAGGTACTTTTTCCGGACCTTTTTACAGAAGGTAAAAGTCACCATAATCTTTACTGACATTGTCCGTAATGATTACTGAGATGGCACATTCGGATGGGACTAAAATTACTGAGAAGCTCTGGTAATAATTACTTTACCCCACCTCTCTATGTAAAACTAATCCCATCCGAATAGGGTTTAAGCAAACCAAAGGCGACAATGGCAAGGAACCCAAACTCCATCAGGTGACAAAATGGAGAAAAAAACCTTGGGAGAAATCAGGCTCAGTCAGTGGACCAGTTCTCCTCTGGCCAAGCAAATAAACAAGGTAGAGCTGCTGTTTATCCTGTAGTGGACGACTGGTTTATCAGTGGGCTTGAGCACAATGAGAGTCCTTCTTGATAGAGCTCCAGGTCCCAGCTGGTCCTGGTATGACGTGCTCAATCTGGCCATAGGGATCTGGTCGAGAGATCGTCTCAACACCGAGGTCTTCGCTGAGGGTCTGTCCCGAGGTCTCGTCTCATCAATGTCCTTGCTGACCATTAAGGGCTGTGTTGTGGTCACTCACGGGAGCAGGTTATGGATATGGACCGGATTTATTTCACTATGTTATCCTCGAAATAAGGGAGAGACAGGCAGACTAACAGAGCGAAGATGCCATTCTTCTTAAAATGTAACAAGTACATCGGGTGTTATTGGGAAGTGTTCCCAGTTGCCCTGATTAATGCAGCCTAACAATCCCTTATGGGGATTTGCATTAGCGTTAGTGTGTTACATGTATGCTAAGGAAAAGAGATGGGTCTTTAATCTAGATTCAAGCTGACAGAGTCTGCCTCCCGAACAACGCTAGGAAGACTGTTCCAGAGTTTGGGTGCTAAATAAGATAAGCATCTACTGCCCGCAGTTGATTTAGATATTCTAGGTATTGTCAACTGGCCAGAATTTTGAGAACGTAATGAACGTGAAGGGCGGGAATGTGAAAGGAGCTCACTCAGATATTGTGGAGCTAAACCGTTCAGGGCTTTATAAGTAGGCCTAATCAACAGGATTTTAAAGTTTATACGGTGTTTAATAGGGAGCCAATGCAGTGCTGACAGTACCGGACTAATGTGGTCAAAATTTTGGTTCTAGTAAGCACTCATTTTGGACCAACTGGAGTTTGTTTATTAAGCCTGCAGGACAAACACCCAGTAACTCATTAAAATAGTCTAGCCTTGAGGTCATGAACACATGAATTAACTTTTCTGCATTAGACATTGACAGCATATGTCGTTCGTAATTTACATATATTTTTAAGGTGGAAAAATGCAGATTTACAAATGCTAGAAATATGACCTTCGAATGACAGATTGCTGTCAAATAACACACCCAAGTTCTTGACTGACGACGAGGATGTAACAGAACATCCCATCAAGAGTTATGCAGTATTCTAAGTATTTACGTGAGGAGGTTCTGAATTTAGTAATAAGAAATTGCTAGTTATCCAATTTTTAATGCCTACTATGCATTCTGTGAGTTTCGCAAATTGGTATGTTTCGTCAGGTCTTCAGGAAATGTAGAGCTGGGTATCATCAGCGTAGCTATGGAAACTAACTCAAGTTCATTAACTTAATGAAAAGCAGTGGTCCTAGTACTGAGCTCTTAGTGAAGAGCAGTGGTCCTAGTACTGAGCCTTGCAGAACTCCACATTGAACTTGATATGACACCTCTTCATTTACTGCTACAAAACTGATAGCGGTCAGATAAGTACGATTTGAACCATGCCAATGCAGTCCCAGTAATGCCAACGTAATTTCTGAGCCTATCCACGAGAATGTTATGGTCAATAGTATCAAATGCAGCACTAAGGTTGAGTAAAACTAATATAGAAATGCAACCACGGATGATAACAACAAGTCATTAGTAACTCTGATGAGTGCAGTTTCAGTGCTGTGAAATGGTCTAAACCCTTACTGTAACTCCTCACAGATACCATTTCTGTCCAGGAATGAATGTAATTAAAGATACCCCTTTTTCTAGTATATTTGATAGAAAGGGCAGATTTGAAATTGGTCTGTAATTAATTAATTCTCTAGGATCAAGTTGTGTTTTTTTAATAAGAGGCTTAATAATTTATGTAATACTCTTAAAAGAATATTTGAGCATGTGTTGACATGAATTTGAGTTGTCATTAATCAAAACTTGATTCTGATGAGTTTTGATTATTTCAGCATTCAGAGGTCAAATACTTCTGAATAAGGACTGTATAACTGACATACTGCTGTTACTAATTATTATATCATTCTTTCGCTTCATACTAACACAGGTAAGAACAGGTATTTGGCACCACCTTGTGTCTCAAATGACAGTTACAGATCACAGAAAATGCCTTTAGGACTTTTAATAGACATAATCACAAAACAAAGTACCTGTTATTCATCCACCACAACTTGTATTTTATCTAATCCTAAACTTGTATTGTCCCTTTTTTTATCAAAATAAAAAAAAAAAACCTTAAGAAAAACAATGTCCCCGGGGTATCAGTATTAGTATATTGGTATAATACGGACTTATATTTCCTTATGTAAACACAGATGACAGTCAGTGTATTTGCCACAATCAGGTGTCTGGTTATTTGATGTAACACACAAATATACAGTATATATGTGACATATTTCATCTTATGTGGTCACAATACTGACTTTTGATATAATAAAAATGACTACTCCTTTACATGAATACATATCACTCCAAACTACATCCTTTTACAGCAGTGTAATTGATAATAATTCTACATACGCATCAGCAGATAATGGGACTTCCCTTATAAACACTTAATCATTATATAGTTTGATTAATACGATGTCTATTAAATATGTCAGTACATGCATGAAAATAAATGACATCAATATTCATACTGAAAATTTTCTTCAAAGCAAATACAGTACGCAGACCAGTCCTTCTTAATCCTGGCAACAGCACGGCATTTACTGTATATATGTTTGTGACGCACCTGCTTCAAATCATCAGCTGTTGAGCAGAGAGATTTACAAATACATTCACAGTCATTTACTGGAAGCCTTCGAGCCTGGTTAAATTCTGCTTATATGGCATGTATCACCCTAAATGATGATATTCTGCTCTGTGTCAATTTACTGATTCAGTCAATCCCTGCGGAAAACAAAATGCAGAAAAGCTGGATGAACAACGAGGAAACAAATAACAAAAACAATGTTTGTTTGTTCATTTTGGGAAAACTCTCTGAACTCTAAATCCAAATTATAGAATAAAACACAAGTACCTCTTACTTTTTACAGGCTTTGGTAAAAATAGTATAGGCTTTTATCACTAGCAGTTGTAATAACGATTCATTATTCATGCAGCAAAAAGTCACTTGATACTCACCGCTTTTTGTATAAGAGTAGATAGGCAGAGCTGCGAATAAAGATGCACTTTATAATGCATTCAAGTAGCAATGTACAAAATCACACTCACAAATACAGTAGTTTGTATAGCAATGTCTGGTACCTGTGTGAATAGTATGAATCAGAAGATGAAGAAGAAACAAACTCTGCAATCCTCCGCAATACATCGGTCCTTTCTGAAAACATCTTGTCAGGAATCTTTGAAAAAAAGTTTTAAAGAAACATAAAATGTGAGACACAATATGACATATTACGCACACTTATTATATTTTCACTAGTGCATGTACAGTCATGTACAGTCAAATTTATACATATATGACTACTGTTCATTAATTAATTACACGGAGGATCTGCAAACTTTAAGCCTGAACAATTGAAGTTCTAGCAAATCTTTCAGGACATGAAGACATATCTGTTAATCCATTTCAAACCATGTTTGTCACAATATTTGCATGTGTATATATAAGTGGAAAAATGTGCTGTTGCTGCCAGATCTTGATTACCGCAATCACATTGTATTTGATTCAAAACTAACTTGAACAGTATATTTTCATGCTTTTTTTAAGCAAAGCAAATGTTTAAGTCCACTACAATCTTTTCTTCATACAAGTATGTAGAAGGTACTCATTATTGTCACAGTTATGAACCTTTGTGTTTTCATTTAGTTCCTGTTCTCCAGCCCACATTCTGTTCATGTTCTCATTAGTTTCCTTAGTTGTTAATCATCTGCACCTGTCCTGAGCTCATTAGCCTTCATTTGGTTTGTTCCATTGTCGGCTATTGTTTGTGTTACCCCTGTATTTGATATGTTCTTCTTCTTTGGATTACTATTAAAAAATATTGTTGTTTGGGGCATTAGACAACTCTTCCTAAAGCTGTTTGAATACCAGACAAAACTGATATTTTCTGACAGGATCTGGGGCTGGATCTGATTTTTCTGACACAGAGACTTGATTTGATCTAACAGTATATACAATATATGTGTAAGCATGTGGGAAGACGTTGGGGAAAGTTACTTTTAAAAGCAATGCATTACAATATTGCGTTACTCCCTAAAAAAAGTGACTAATTGCATACTTGAGTTACTTGTTATGGAAGTTAAGTTACTTTTTTTTCATCTGGGCTGGGCTTGCTTGTTTATTTTTAATAAAAAAGTATTTTTGGCAAATGTAAAAGCCCTGCCATTCTGTATTGCATAAAGAATAGGGCAGAAGAGAAGTAAGTTCAACACTCTTTGAGCAATAAAAAAAAGAAAGAAACTAAAGTCATATTTGCTTATTATTATGGTTGAACTGAATCATCGAAAGTCAGCAGCAAGACATTGGTTAATAAAATAGGACTACATGGATATTTAACAAATAAAATGTATATGTAGGCCTGTATGTACGTACCTGAAATACATGGCTGTCATCACATCGATACCAGTTCTGATTGTCAGATCTGATGTTAGTATTATAGTGTCCATCTTTCAATGTTCCATAAAGGTTTATTATGGCATAAAGCTCATATTTTTGGAAGTAAACCTGTCAGGAATAGGAGGGACATGTTCATCATGTCGATTATACATCATCAAATGGATCTGATAGTCATAGAGAGAGTGTGCTTGTCTATATGCAAAACATCAAAAGTATTCTGGACATGCAAACGTATGGGTCAACCAATATATTGACAAAGCCATTTTTCATCATCCTGCTTAAATATACATTTTTTCCAATAATGTCCTGTTCAGTCAATTGTTTTGTTGGCAATGAGAAGCCTTGTGGATCATAGATGGATACATTCTAATTATAAAAAGGAAACCACTAAGATTTGACTTGAATGCATACCATCAATTTTCTGCAAATATACAGGCACTGGTCATTAAAAAGGTCATTTTAAATCCCATACTGGTCGAACACTACTTATGTTACAGACACTGTATTAATTACCTCCGTTTGTGCAGGAATTCTTACTTGACCGTTGTTGTCATGTCGGAAGGTCCTCAATTGTAGAATGAGTATTTGTGGAAAGTCAACATGACTTTTCTGAGGGAAAAACAAATGCATAATTTGTCCACACTATATTTACATAATTTAAAATGTAAATAGAATAGCATGAGTGTGTTGCCTTTAATTACAAGATATGTGTGAAGAAATAATGATATTAAATAATCAAAGGCTATTCTAAACTCACTGATTTAAGTCAACAATGAAAGACTTAAGTCAGCAGAAATTAAAGGGGATGCATTTGTATGAAGTACATATTCCAGTTGTAAAGTTAACAAGCCTAAGTTATCTACAGTTCCACAGTAAATCTTAGCTGAACTGAACAGGCATAAACATATCAGACTTGAAAAGATACTTGCGGTTGCCACTGCTGATTTATTTGAACACTGACTACAGCTCAAAGAAGCTTGATGCATTTGATCAATGTGTTCCTTCAAAGCAAAGCCCTAAATGACCAAAAGAATGGCAAATACAAATAAATGTCAGTTAACAAACAAGCTGAGACAGAGTCTAAAAGGCTTGGTCTAAAGATGATCTGAGTCCATTTAAAAAAATCAGTTCCCATAGACTTCCACTATACCAGAGGAATATTAAAGGGTTAGTTCACCTAAAAATGAAAATTAGCCTGTGTTTTACTCACCCTCAAAGCATCCTAGGTGTATGACTTTCTTCTTTCAGACGAATCTAATCGGAGTTATATTAAAAATTGTCCTGGTCCCTCCAAGCCTTTCAATGTGGGTAAGCGGGTGTTGGTTGTCAACAGTTCAGAAGACGTGAAATAAAGTGCATGCATCTGTAATAAAACATCCCTCACCCCCGGGGGGGGGGGGGGGGGGGGGGATAAAGGTCTCCTGTAGCAAATCCATGCGTTTTTGTAAGAAAAATATCCATGTTTCAAAAATAATAAACACTTTTCTATCACTTCTGCCATCTGTCGTACACGGAAGCCGTTCCGGCAGATGACGTAAGACGTAGGCGTTGCGTGATTAGTGACGAGCGTGGAGAGAGAACAAAACAAAACGCCAGTCATGAATTAAAAGCACAAACTGAGGATTTGTAAAGAAAAATGTCAGAGGATTTCAATATAAGCCAAGAGGAGACTGGTTTTCCTTTGCTAAATTAAGGAAACTTTGTTTCCTTTGCTCCTGCATTTCTCAGAGGCGCGCGCACGACACATACGTCTTGCGTCATCCGCCGGCTTCTGCGCACCACAGTCAGCGGAAGTGAGAGAAAAGTGTGTATTACGTTTGAAATATGGATATTTATCTTACAAAAATGCATGGATTCGCTACAGGGGGCCTTTATTCCCCCCCCCGGAGCCATGTGAGGGATGTTTTATTACGGATGCACGCACTTTATTTCACATCTTCTGAACTGTTGACAACAAACACCCGCTTACCCACATTGAAAGGCGTGGAGGGACCATGACAATTTTTAATATAACTCCGATTGGATTTGTCTGAAAGAAGAAAGTCATACACCTAGGATGCTTTGAGGGTGAGTAAAACACAGGCTAGTTTTCATTTTTGGGTGAACTAACCCTTTAAGAAACTAATTCAGAATTATTCAGAGCTGAACAGCAATGCACTTACCACATTTCTTGATTTACATAGAGAGATGCTCATTGTGAAGAAATCTAGCCGTTCTGATATTATTTGCTTGCACGAATCACATCTACTGGTTTTCTCCACAGTGCCCTTAAAAATCTACAGTGTCAAGACAAGACTTTATTAATGATCTTTGGAAACGGATGATTTAATTGCCAAGTAAATTGGTTTTGCAGCCATATTAAATAACACCAAAATGTGACCATTATATGCATCTTACTGTTCTTCATATTAGACCGTTGCTTTGCATTTAAACCCCTTAACTGTCACTGTTTTCATCATTCGAAAGCTTAAAAATTCAAAATTCATCCTGCGAAACCGTTTTTAAATCAGACATTGCATTACCATGGAAACAGTACTTTAAATCAGAATAAGCTAGCTCCTCCCCCTAGTGGATGCTGTCAAGTTTCATATTACAAAAGTTACTATTTTACAATCAAATCTTTTTTTTTTAATCTTGACAAAACGCATATCGTTGGAAAGTTCTGACAGTCAAGGTTCCATATTTGGTGACTGTTTTGTGATAGAAGTGATATTGTGACAGAAATTGATTTGTGATAGAAAACTGCATCAATTTGTTACCCGGTGGTCATTTTTGGTACAGCACCCAAAACAAAATCTCAATTTTTGTAACAACTTCAAATTTGGAACATAACTTGGTTAGACGTATGGCTTTGAGTTTATAGCAATTTTAGAGTGCAAAATATTTTATAAAATGAAAAAAATATATATATTTAGTAGAGTACATTTTCTTTACTGTAAACTTTTATACTTTTTTTTTAAATGCTTTCACTTCAGCAATAATCTGCTGAGAGTCTTCTTTAAAAAGAGACCAACCAGAGGTCAGTATTCCAAAGCACTCAGGAATTACAACCATTCAAGTGCATTTGATTTACCTTAGAAGATTTGGGAGTCCTGATCAGAATCAATTCTAGACATTTTGCTGCATCTTCTTCTTTATAGACTGATTTTTTATGGGAAAGAAGCATATAAACAACGACATATAACAGCAAAACAGTATTTTTTTTGTCTGCTGGATTATACAAAAAAAACATTTTTCAGAGACCAACCATCTGTGATGCCGAGGCTCTTTGAGATTGCGGCTGTTGAAACTGGATGAGACTCTTTGTCTAATTTATCAAACAGAGACTTCAGCTCTTCGGTGAAATCACCATCAGGCGAATCATCTCTTCTCTCCAGCCTAAACACGTCAAATGATTATTATGCTAAAGATTATTTGACAAACAAACAGAAGCAGCGGGAGTGATTTCTTTACCTCACAACGCCTTCTCTGTATTCCTGGGTCATGTAGAGTGTTTGCAGAACTGCGTTCAAGTAGCTGGTTGCTCCCTGATTCATCAAGCCACAGTATGCTTAAATGAGAAACGTATTATTAGTACAGTATACGTCTCTAAAATCTATGATTTTAGATATTTATCATCTAAAGCCACAGTAACATGAACTATTAAAGTAAGTATAATAATAACTTGTAAAAAAAATGACCTAATAAGACCATTAGAAGATCATTCCAATACATATTACGCATTATAAATAACCCATTTAATTTAGTAAGAACCAAACAAACAATTGTGTAGATAACTGGAAAAGTGATAAAACAACTGAAAAAAAAATGACTCACCCATAACTGATCGGTTTCTTCTCTGAAAGAAAAATGTGATACTAATTAACAACATGCTGCAAATGATAACAAAGATGAGAAGTAATCTACTTATTCTCATAAAGCGGCATATTTATGTTTGATTGATTGAAAAAAAAATGAGCATCATTTTCTTCAGTTGATATTTGATAAATGATGATCATACCTCTGTGGTAACTTCAATGACGTCACTGTCTGTGGTGTAGTTGAGTTTCCCCAGCGCTGCACATTTGATCTCGTATTCAGTTCCTGATCTCAGATCAGTCAGAGTAACTACGTCTTGATCCTTCATCACAGGTTCAGATGTCCAGACTGAGTCCTGCTTCGGTTTATACAGTAACTTGATCTCAACTGTATCAGGACACAATGGAGGAACCTTTACAACTACGGTGTTTTCTTTGACCTCTTCGATGACTGGACAGGCTGGCGGAGATGGAGGAATAAAGCAAACAGCTTCATCACATTCACTTTCATACAGCAGAATGCAGGAACCTGGATTATTCTTCATTTCTCTTGAGGACACGATAAACATGTTTGATGTACTGTCATTCAAATCGATCAAGTTCTTAAACATCTTCAGGTTGCTCCTCATGGTCTTTTGGATCTCAGGACTGAGCCAAGACTTTTGCTTTCGTTCAGGGCTGCTATCATTATTTCCTCCTTTTGCTGAAGGACTCAAACAGGCCTTTTGTTGAAGAAGCAGCATGTCTGACCAGTTCAATGATGTGAACATGAAACAGACCAGATTTCCAACTTCCAGATCCATCAAAATCAGGTCTATGTTGACTTCTACTTGCGCACCAGCATCTTTCAGCTGTCTGAGGACTGATTTAACGATCTCAGACTCTCTTTCTCTCTCTTTCAGCCATTCTGCAAGGTCAGATCTTCTGAAAGGAGATTCCTCATGTTCTTGTAGAAGTTCATTCAGTGCTGTTTCCTTCATCACGTCTCCACGGATGTTTGGCAGCAGAGAGCCGAGTCTCTTCGTGAGCTTCAGTTTGTACTTATAGCAGTTTTGCTTCATTTGCAGAATTGTATCGTGAAATGCGGTAAAAGACGAAGCAGGTGAGTCTTTCAGAAGATCACGGCATCTCATCTCAGCTGTGTTTAAACTCTCAACCACTGATTCAGTTTCTAGGATTAGATCCATGCTGATGTCCTTCTGAAGTTTTGAAGCTCTTGAGTGAAGTTTGTCCAGAGGATAAAGCCAAACTCTCAGAGGAACCGCAAGCTCTTTCTTTTCTCCCAGAAGTTTTGGAAGATCCGTGAAAACCTTCAGAGCATCTTCAAAATTCGTCGGGTTAGACGGTAACTGGAAATCGCCATAAAACGTGCATGTGAATTTCTGGACTGCATTCTTCTGAGCGTCATTCATCTTCAGACTGATCTTCACATCTACTGAAATGAATTTGAGCTTGTCAAGGGCCGCATTTACTTCTCCTTCTACTGTATTTTTATTCTCATCTGATGAAACTTCTCTGTCAAACACAAAGCAGGCATCTGCTCCATACAGCACCGCTGTCACCACGTGTGTCGCTGTGTCATTATCAAACACGAGCTGATGAATGATATTTTCAGGTGCCAAGTGACTCATGGTCAGTTCTTCAAACCTGCAGGTTGAGTGATAATGCAGCGTCAGTCTCTGCTGTCTGAAAGACTTCTTGGTGTCGTTGAGATATTTGGCTGCTCCTGTCACACTGACCAGTCCACCTAAAAGACTGAGTTTCAGAGAGCCGTCGATGTTCAGTAAGCTTGATTTGTCCTCAATGGAGTCTGAAGCTGTTACTTTGAAATCGGTGTTAATTTGGGGACGAGTTCGTAAACTCTGCTGGAGCTTCTCTGGATCCCACAGTGTGATTCCTGCAAAAATAAAAGGGGAAGAATTGCGATTGATTCCACTTTAGGTCCATTCACACACACAGCGATTTAGTGATGAAGTGACATTAGCATTGGTGACTGTTGATGGTGTGATGAGGTCACCAATAGTGCAATGAAGTTAAGACAAGTTTTCATTTAAATGCCAATGAGCAGCAATGTGACAGAAACCAATAGCAGTAAAGAAACTAAGGCACGCATGATCCATATACTTTATGCCACATGTGTAACAGTATACAGTCGTGGCCAAAAGTGATGTCCGGCCCTTTATTCAAACATACTGATGTTCCCTATCTGTCACTCACTTGACGTTATGTCGATGTAGTGACCAGAAGAATACAAAGTTCAGTAAACTATAAAACTGTTTGCACTACAAACCAGTATGTTTATGATTACGATAATAAATGTAAAATATATGATATGAAATAGTAGTTTGCAACATCAAGCATTATAACAGATGTTTCAGCTAAAATAACTGAACGCAAAGTCTAAAGCATTACATTAAGTTAATAAGTTACAAATGGCCGTGACTCTCTTACGTTAAAAATATGGTGGATAATGGCAGGTTTTTAGAGGAAACAAAAGCAAACAATTATGCATTCCACTTGTGTCAGATAATTCGGTCAACTTGGGTAATTTTTCCGATTCTGGAAGCTTTGCATCTTTTCAACTTTCACACTTTGGGGTAATTCAACAAATCTGAGTCGGATGAAATTTTGTATTACGGTATGGTACCTGGTATGAGAGCATCTTTCCTGCAGTCATACAGCATCCCCAGCTGGAAGGGTCTCCCTAGAGCTGCTGTCTCAATCACATCCACTCCTACTGTAGCCATACTGAACACACCACAAGAACAAGCAGATTTGGGAAAACAAACAAAACACTGATTTTTCCGTCTGTCAAAAGCCTGACTGCTGATATGAATCCTGTTCTAAAACACATTTTATTGTTATTATTAACAAGTCAGATCTTTTATTTAAATTGTATTATTTGTCGTACCTTCAAACTTGAGTTACCTGTGGCGTGTAGAATGAGAGAAGCGTTTGCCTTTCAAACCAGAAACCTGTAAGATTAGAAACAGACTTTTAACAGAATGTAAGACACGTCTACTTCTTTTGAAATATGATTCGGCTTGTGATATTATATCACAGGTTTGCATTAGAGCAATGATCAATAGCTAAGCTGCTAAACGATCGAATCTCATTACCGTGTGTGAAGCCGCATCAGGATTGATTCACACCGCTGGAAATGTTGAGTTCATTTATAAACCTCTGCAGGACAAACACACACTTGAGTTTAATGACATTCTACATAATCAACAGCAAAATAAATGATGTTGTCTCCTCGAGCTGTTTCCGTGAGTTTTCTCCGCCTCGTCTCCGTTTTACTTTCACTTTCACTTTCTCGTTGGTGTGTGTTTAAAGTGCCCCTATTATGGATTTTTGAAAATTACCTTTCATGGACTGTGTAACACAGCTCTAAGTGAATGAAAACATCCTGCAAAGTTTTAAATCTGAAAGTGCACCGTGTATAAAGTTATTAGGCTTGTTTGAGATGTGCCTCGCCTGAAATGTAGGCGAGAGTAGGCGGCACTCTTGGGGCAGTGAGGGGAGTGAAATAAGCGCAGTCAAGACGGACAGTTCTGACCTCTTTAGAGAACATTAGCCAAAGTTAGGAGAACATTCTCTGTTAGCTGGGGCGCCATGTCAAAACCATCTAAACTTTTACAAGCAGCGCAGCTCATCAATGTCAGTTTCACAGCAAACTTTTTCAAACTATTCCAGAGCGCTGTATCTCGTGTTATTAGACGCAAAGACGCTTTCTGTGTGAACCGCCTCTTATTGTAGTTCAGATCAAAATGTTGTGAGAGGTTCACGCTAGGTTCATTGTAAGAGATTGGTGTGCACAACACCGTTTCAGGTGACCCGTGTTCGAGTCCTAGCTCATGGTTTGTTCACTTCAACTGTTCACCTCTCTCATTCCGTAGCCTATAAATTCTTGTCTTCTTTTAAGTATTACTATTTTAATCAAATATATAAGCCAAACATTAATTTTAAAAGGACTATCTAGTAATATTTTTTTCCTAAACTGTTCCTCAGTATAATTCTAAGGACATTTAGGCTATCGAAAATGAATAACATCCAATCAATGGTCCATGAACATTATTGTCACAATGATTATAAAAACATATAGCAAATATTCATAGCGTCATAATGATGTTCTTAGAACATTGTTTAAAGAATGTTTCTCAACATTAGAACATATATTTAATATTAATAGTGTTATAAGAACGTTCCATAAACATTATTTTAAGAATGTTTTATTTAACATTCACATAACCTTTAAAAAAACCCTTTATGAATGTTCTCCCTTAGCTGGGAACATACCACGCAGAACACTAAAGGACTTTCTGAGAAAAATGTTTAAAGAACCTGTCCTCCCAAGATTCTTAGAATGTTTTCTCTTAACATTATGCGAACGTAGCCTAAATCAACCATTAATACCGTTATAAACATTATTTTAAGAATGTTCTGTCATAACCTTTAAATTCCTTTGAAAAAAACGTTAATGAAAGTCGTGGGAACGTTCCCTGTTAGCTGAGGAAGACCTGAACACCTGATAAACAAACACAGAAACCCTCCTGCTTCTTCGCATCTGAACCACAAGATTTAAAGAAACATGTCACATACTTCAACAGAACATCTTGCTTTTTTAAAGTATACGTTGCCACACATAATTATGTTTACAATGTGTAAATGTTTATTTCTTCATTCAACAGAGTTATGATGGGTATTAAACAGAAAAATGATCAAAAACATAAGTCAATGAGCTATCGATGGATCTGAGAACAGCTGCGCTGGAAACCCTGCCAATTCCAGCTCTATCTGTCGAGACATTCCTTCATGCTGGACCAAAAGAAATCTGTGTGTCTCCAACTAGATAAGCAGAGGATTTCATGTCCTCGTAGTTTGTCAGCAGTACAAAGCTAGACCAACCAATCAGGAAAAGTGTTCGTTACGTGAAAATGTTCCTTCTTTGGTATTTACTGGTTTCTGTGCCATAACCAGTTTATTTGATACATGGCATTAATATTAGCACATACTAATATATGCATTACTGTGCATTTCACTTACAAAAATGAATCTACTAATTATGCACCGAAATTAATGTCTTACTGAAACATCGAAAGCAAAATTAGTTTTCCATTTAGCCCAAAATGGCAAAGATAAGTTTAATACTCAATCAAATTTATTTACTAACACTCAAATAAAAAACTGTTGTATATAAACATTTTAATTGAACAGTTATTTAAGGCATGTTTCATATCAACCTTTTAGTAATACATTTAGTTTGTAGTCATTGTTAAAGAATAAACATTTTAATGGTGTCAGTAATAAGAAAGTACAAATATAATGAACATGTAATACAGTGCATTTATTTAGCACAATGATCCTCTCAAGAGTTAATTTTTCTAGCTACCTAACAAACAAATTATGGACATTGAATGTGTTTCCTGATGTAACATTACATGACATGCTGTTTACAAGCTGCTTTATTGATTTTCTATGCAGTTGAAATGCTGACTGAGTGATTACATGAGACGTGATTCAGTTCAGTGAGTTGTATGGTTTCTTCTGATGTTCATTCATGTTTATTTGGTGCTATAGCAAGTAGTAAAGAGAAAGAGACGATTGGTTCACGTGTCATTTGAAATGAAGTGCTACGGCGATCTGTCAAAACACATTAACAAGCAGCAAAACCGCATTTATCATTTAAATTTCATTATAAAATTGACAGAGTTTGAAAGTTGAGACTGTTTCATATCAAAAGTAACAATTAAAGCATAAAGCTTACTGCAATTCCGTCAGTGAAGCACTAATTCAACGTCAATGATTTCGGCCCTCCAAAACCGTTTCAGCCAAAACCGAAAATTCATTTTTAGCTGAGTATTTTCGGTTGCCTGAATTTCGGTGCATCACTGCAGTCTACACATTCGAAATACATGAAAGCGTTTCCTAATTGTGGAATCAGTTTTTGTTTTAACTGCAAGTATATCCTAATACATGTTACAACAACAGCACAATAAAGACAGCTCTTGTACTACAGTGTCAATTGCCTGTTAATAATCCAAACTGAACATTCATTTGCGCTTAAACAGTTCCACACAAAAATGCACACAGAGATGACACACAAAGATAAATAAGCTCTGATCTGAATGGGCTGGGAATACTGAATGCCTGAGGTCAGCGTTGATGTGGAGTTGAAGCAGCAGGTGATGCTGATATTCAATCATGAGGTGAGTCTCTGTACACGGCAGGTGAATGTCAGTCTGAATCGACCAATGAGGCCACGGGATTCATTGCACATGATCTATCTGGTTTGTCCGGGTCCATCTTTGTCCCTGGCATACCTGGCACAGCTGGCGCAGCAGAAACTGGAGTAATACTGGCTGGAGCACAGACGTGCGTACACAATCAGCTTACAGTTCGCCAGTTCAGGCTGATCCACGCAGTCCGGCGACAACCCCTGACTCCCACTGAAATCTGCAGATGCAGTCAGACACATTCAAATACATTCACAAGCGCATGTCATCACATTATCATGGTATCAACTAATTTGGTGTGCTGTCCAGAGTCAGAAATTAACAAAAGGCTAAGGGCAAAAAATGCATTGCAGTCTATTGCAGCTGTGGAGATTAAAGTGAAATGTAAAAATGAATGAAAAGTGTCGATTCACAGCATTATATTTAGATCTGCTCACGTTGCATCACATTTTGTACACCTTTTTTTTTTTTTGCAATGTTGAGCATTATAACCAATCACATGTTTCTGTTGAGTTTATGAACGCAATGGCCAATCAGAAGCATTGAGGTTAGTCACCGAAACATGTTTAGTGTGCGTCACTGACTGAATTCACTGAAAACAGAGATTATAACAGGAGATTTGGCAAGAGCGCAGAACTCACGAAGCCCTTCAGTGATGAGGAACATTCTTTACTTGCTTTCTGTATATCATTTATTCCCAAAAATGTTTTGTTTTTGATGCTCTTAAAATAACCAATGTGAAGTCTTGGTTTTATTAAACTTAGCTTGTTTTGTGTAGCCAGAACATGCCATGCTATCCCCCCAAAAAACATTTTAATTACAATATCAAGAGCAATAATCAACCATATTGATTTTTCTTATAATATTGCAGCCTTAATTGAAATACTTTATGTATGCATACTGTTTACAAGATGCATTTGTTGCGCAAGTACATGTATGCCAGTAAATAAACATACATGGCTTCTGTTCCACCTTATTGATAACACTCTATAGTATTCAGATCAATTTTAATTAATTAAAATATGACAAAAAAAAGACAACAGAGATACAATTAAAAAGGTAAGTATAAAAATTGCTCTTACAAATGTTAAAAAAGCTAATTATTGACAAATATTGCTGCTTAAAAATGAAAATTCTGTCATCCTTTATTCACCGTCATGTTGTTCCAAACTTGTACGAGTTTCTGTCTTTTGCGGAACACAAAATAAGATATTTTGAAGAATGATGGTAACTAAACAGTCGATTGTAGCCACTGACTTTCATAATATATATATATATTTTTTACTGTGGAAGTCAATGGCTACCGTCAGCCCTTTGGTTACACAAGCTCTTCAAATTATCTTCGTTTGTGTTTAACAGAAGAAAGAAACTTATATAGATTTTTCATAGTATGGAAAAAAATACTATGGAAGTCGATGGCTACCGTCAACTGTTTGGTTGCCAACATTTCTTTTAAAATATCTTCTTTTGTGTTCAACAGAAGAAAGAAACTTATACAAGTTTGGAAGTTTTTCATTTTTGTGTGGACTGTTTCTTTAATGCAGTTTTTGCCCTCTCGTTCTCACTCCACTGACCTTGTTGAGGGGATTTGGCCAGTCGCACTTCAGCCGCTGCGCTGACCGAGTATGTCCCAGTGTAGGCATTGCAGGTATACGTCCCCTCATCCACTGACTGGACATTATTTAGTATTAGTGTCCCGTCTGCTGACACATGCACATGATGTCCGTCCGGTCGCACTGGCACACCATTCCTGTCCAGAGAGACAGGCAAAGCCAGATCAGATGATCCATGAATGCTTCCTTCGCACTCAATACAAACTATAAGCTATAAAACGAGTTCTCTGAACTGACCGTGACCAGCCAACGTTCACATTTTCTCCGGTCACTACACAGGGCAGTTGAGCAGTGCTGCCCTGCGGCACATCGACATCCGTGGGGGCTTTAGTGATCCTGAGGTCGCCTGGAGAAACGGGAGAATATTACAAGCATACTGCAGAGACCGAAAACTCAGAGGATGTTGCATTTGATTCAAATACTGGAAAAAGAGACACAC